AAAAAAATGAATTAATTAAGAGAAATGGAAAGAGCAGAACGAAAGAAATTGTTCTGCGACCAAGTGTCGTGTGACGAAGTGATCGGTCACCGTTGATCCCTTCATGCCCCACACCCTCAAGAATTTTAGGCCCATGATTGACACTCCATTCTTAAAGCTACAAAAAACCATTAAATATTTTGTGTTCACATATAAACTAATTACTTCCACGCCTTTAAGTTGAATGAATTCACTTAGAGTCTGATACTAAATAGGTTTATTTCGGAAAAGTATGTTGACTATTTATTTGTAGAGAAAGAAACAATATTGAAAATGTCTTCCACACAAGAAGATAAAAACGGTAAGTGATGATGACTTTTCATGCATCATTAGAAAAATTCATGGTGTATTTGGCATCATTCATCGAAAGATTTAATACAAGGAATCCTTTTATCTAATGGAAGCACATGTTTTTCTTTCGGTAGATAAATCTTGGCTCAAATGTCAGTTTCATGGTACCGATCAAACATCGATTAAGAAGCCTGATGAGCTCGGAATCAGCCAGAAAGATTTTGCCCCGTTGTCAGCCAGCAGTAACAGTCTGCTGAACCGTATTCAAGGTTCATTGTTTGGTTTGACCATTGGTGATGCTCTTGGAGCTCATGTTGAATTCAGGCCCTACAGTTATTTGGCTGCTAATCCAGTGAAAGATTTAGTAGGAGGTGGAACGTGGGGTCTACAGCGAGGACAGGTTAGAAAATCTAGCAATAGTAATTGTATAACAGTTGCCTTTTATAGTTTACTGACGATACTTCTATGGCACTTTGTCTAGCCAATTCATTAATTTCTTGTCAGGGTTTTGTTCCGTACGACCAGTTAGTTCGCTACAAGTGGTGGTATCGACATGGTTACATGTCATCGACTGGGCATTGTTTTGACATCGGTGCCGCCACCCGAACGTCGATCGAAGAATTCGAAACACGTCAGAGAAAGTTTGCATACGATCATGACATTCTATTGGACGAAATGGACTCTTTATCCAACTGTGATCTTCTACAAGCATTCGATGTGTACTGTAGCAAGGAAAATGTAGCTGGTAACGGAGCCCTAATGCGTCTCGCTCCTGTACCGCTCTTCTTCTGGCAACGTCCAGAAGTGGCCGTTGACTATTCTGGCATTAGTGGAAAAATCACTCATGGAGATAAAAGAGCTTATGATGCGTGTTGTTATTATGGAGCTCTTATTGTAGCTGCTCTTAAAGGAGAAACAAGAGACCAATTGACTAGTGAAAAATTTTACGATGAGCATCGGGAATGGTTTGGCGATCAAGACCTTCACGCTGAGATAATAGCCATTGCTCGTGGTTCATACAAGAAACCAGGTGGCTATCAAGATGGAATTCGAGGCAAAGGATTCATTGTGAATGCTCTGGAAGCTGCTTTGTGGGCTTTTTGGAGTGATGGAGACTCATTTGAGACAGGTGCACTTAACGCAGTTAATCTTGGTGATGATACAGACACAACAGCAGCCATTTATGGTCAGTTGGCAGGTGCTTACTATGGCTACAAGAAACTGCCAAAAAAGTGGTTAGATTGTATCTATGCCAAAGATTTCATTCTATGTGTAAGCAGCTGGATTGCCTATGAAGGGGAAACATGGTTCAAAAATCAAAAAGTTCCTGGCATAAGTACACTTATAACTTCTTTTGATAACACTTTGCATAATTCGAGACCAAGTGAATCTATCAATTTGACGACACAACGCATGCGTGCAAGCCTTGAAGCCACTTCAGGTTTAGACATAGCGTTGGGCGCAATTGTACGCAAAGCTATCGATCCTAATGGTCATATTGGAGATTTTTATGATGGATGGCAAGATTGTGTCGTAAGATCAGTTGGTATGAAATTGAACGTAAAAGAAGGTTACCAGAATCCACCAATAAAGTGTGAGATAAAAAGTGGCGGTAAGCTTGAAAATCAGAACGTTCTTCGATTCATTGACTTTCCTACTGATTTTCGATTGAGTGTGTTGTCGAACTTGGTTACATCGACAGGTATTGCTTCGGTTGTTGACTATCCATTTGCAATTGATGAATGTACTCGCATCCTCTACTACTCGTATGTGATTCGAAATCAAGCTTTACTTGACGAGAAAAGTATCCTAAAAGGGATGTGCAAAGGTTCTGCCACTCATGTCATCACGGCAATAGACAAGGGTATCGATGTTGTAGTTCTATTGAGATTACCGATTGATGATTCAAAAGACATCGACGAGAGTCTCGATCAAATATGCCAGTGCTTGAAGCATAAAAAGCAACCTAATATCAATGAACATGTACTGAATCGAATTCTTTCTACACACGTTTATTCCAACACGTTTCAATTAGCTAAACAATCAACATTATCTAATGTGTGCCAAGAAATTCTCAAAATCAAAAATAAACTTGCTGATCAGCCATCTTGCAATTATATCCTTCATCCTATCAATATATTCTATATCAATCAAAGTCAACAGAGCACTCAATTTATTCCCATCGAACCAAGAATAGCAACAAGGATTGAAGAGCACTGGCTTCGATTATCATCTGTAGAAAAAATGTGGAGAGCGTTTCAAGAGAACACAGATTCCAATATTTGGGAAACTGTTCTTAACGAACAGTTCAATGCGGTGCAAATTAAAATCTTGAAATTCATAAATCATTATGAGGAAGAAAAGAAAAATGGTCGAAGTTTGATTCCGAATATTCGTCAAGGCAAGGAGTCGCAAGAGGCTATCGAAGGTATCTTACGCATTAAGGAAGAAACGACATTGAAGAAAATCATCGACGATTTGAATCATTCTTTGAGAAATTTGAAAGAGAAACATGATTTTGTAAAAGATTTGAAAAATCGAAAGTTTGATTATCAGAATGCTGCCAAATATGATATTAAACGTGACGATGACGATAACGTAATCGAGCGCAAGTTAGTCGAAAATAGGCAGCGACAGCGTTTCCTTTGCTCCAACGATAGCTTAAACGAAGCGCATTCATCACATTTACAAGAGACAATGACACAACTAACTCAAGAACGCGAAAGAAATCCTGAAATGACTCTAATATATGTAGACTTCTCATCTTCTTTGCACAAATTAAACATGATAAAAACATTTCCCTCAACAATCTGTAACAGCGGAATTACTGCTGCTGTGCGCGATTCTTTATTACCAACGACAAAAAGCTCCGATCTATCATCACCTGTGCCTTCTACAGTTCGGAAGATTACTATTGCTCTCATAGGTAAATCTGGTGTTGGCAAATCGATGCTAATTAACACAATCGTCAATTGCTTAAAATTCAAGGAATCCCCACAAGCCCAATGGAATGCATCGGCTGTGCATGTGGTTGTTCCGTTTATCTTTCCTTTAAATACTTCTGTGTGTTCGCGTTTCATTTTAGTTGGAAATGATGATTCTAACGAAAATTATCGTTGTCATTATCGTGGTCAATCTAGAACTCAACGTTGCAAATCATATACATTTGACATCGAAAATGGGCAAAAGTTATGTATGGTTGATACCCCAGGCTTCTCTGATGCATGCAATCAATCTTCTACTGAAACGACTATGCAACACATAGTATCATACATTTCGAATCTAAAGCATTTGAACGCTATTTGTGTTGTGATAAAATCAGGCGACTCGGAACTCACTGCTTATCAACAATGTTTGAAACCATTGCTCGATTTCATTGGAGAAGAAGCGCATGATAAGTTAGTTTTTTGTTTCACTAATTATCTTTCCGCTAAAACGACCGCTAATCAAAGAATCGATCAGGTTCAAAGACTGCTCCAATTACTTTCATTTCGTAATATTACTACGAAGACGAACAACATAATATACTTCGACAGCAACTTCTTTTATCATTTAGCTACCGCACACTACTACGATCGTCACGAGTCGACTCCTGAAAAAAGTTGGTCTATTTCAAAACAAGGAGTAGAGCTACTTCTACAGTGTGTTCGTCAAACTGATCGGCCGTGTTTGATAGATCGAAGGTTACAAAGAGTAGAATATGCTTCTGTTGAAATTCTGCAGATGGTTCGTCCGATAACTGAAGCAATGCGCAATATTCTTCGAAACTATATTCTACATAAGCATGGATCAATAAATAAATTTATCGAACTCCATCCAAAACCTATTCAACGACCTTCCGCTATATGCTATTTCTGCCCACGTCGTATTCAACCATGTAATAGTTTATGGATTTATCGTGATTTTTTGCACGAATATCAAAACCAATGCTCACATTGTTTATGTGATTCGAGACAGCACGTTCCAGTCGACTACCACCTTGATTACA